CAAGAAGAATTGCCTTTATTTCACATGCTTGAAATTGTAGCTTATACTTCAATCGATAAGTACATATAGTTCTACTGATGCATTAGTAAAAAGAATCTATAAACAAACCCAATGAAGATTATATTTTAATATCATTTAATAAAAATTACGATTATCTAAACTTGGGCAAACTCTTTACTTTTTGTATTACACCATTCTTGTGCTGTTATGAAGAAATATCTGAGAGTGGGTAATTTATAAAATAAGAAGTTTGGCTCACAGTTCTGCAAACTGTGCAAGAAGAGTAGCAGCATCTGCTTCTGGGGTGGCCTCAGGAAGCTTCCAATCATGGCAGAAGGCAAGGCCAGGTGTGGTGGTAGCGCATGCCTGTAATCCCAGCACATCGAGAGGCCAAGTGGGGGCAGATCGCTTGGCACAAAATATAGAGACCAGCCTGGGAAACATGGCAAAACACCATCTCTACAAAAAAATACAAAAATCACCTGGGCATGGTGGTGCATGCCTATGGTCTCATCTATTTGGGAGGCTAAGGTGAGAGAATTGCTTGAGCCTGGAAGCTTGAGGCTACAGTGAGCTATGATTGCACTATTGCATAAAAACCTGAGTGACAGAGTGAGACCCTTTCTCGAAAGAAGTCAAGGGGGAGTACGCACATCATGAGGCAAAAACAGGAGCAAAAGAAAGGAAGTTGGGGTGGGAGGGAGGTGCCACACACTTTTAAACCACGTGATCTCAGTGTTGACTCAGAGCTCACTTATCACCAAGGGGATGGCCCAAGCCATTCATGAGGAATCTGCCCCCATGATCCAAACACCTTCCACCAGGCTTCACCTCTAACACTGGGGATTACAGTTCAACATGAGATTTGGGTAGGGACAAATATTCAAACTACCTCACTTCTCTATGCTTCAGGTCCCTTATCAACAAAATGGGTGGGTACTGGTCATTTCTAAAGCATTTTACTAGTTCAAAACTCCATAAATCTATGAGTGTGTAGGGGGTGAGAATGGCATGTTATGTCAACAAGAATGTTGCTCTTGGAAGACACTTTAGCCGAGATCCAAACTTAGGTCTCTCATCCAGTCAAGGTAAGACCTCCCTCTACTAGCAAAGCCTCCCTCTACTTTGTGTGAATTATCAAAAGGCGCCACCTCCTCGCGGATGCACTGAAAGGCATCCCTTCTGCAAGGCACAGGGCTTTTGAAGAGCTGTGAGGGATGGATTTTAGGCACCCCTGATGCTCCCATGCAGAGCGGAAAAAAAGTACATCATGGTTCTGAGATCAATGTTATTTCTGATCTAGTTGTGACATTTAAAGTTCTGGCTTCATGAGAAATGAGAGACGTTCTGGCAGAGGTGTAGGCAATGATTTGTCCATGGTCACTACCAACCTTATAATACATATAAATTCCTGAACACTGCAGTTTAGGAAAGGAGGTCCTCTTGGATTTTAACAGTATTTTTCTTGGCACTTAACATTTTTGTAGGCAGAATTGTGTGTTTGCATTTAAAAAAATCTATTTTAGTTTTCTCTTTAGCCAGTCTTTTTTCAGACTTTGGTATAATTATACTTAAGATGTTTTGGGGACAGCAAAATGATCAGCTTTACAATGCACAGCCCACTGTCTATTGAGGTAGATTTACCATTCACCCCTTCTGGGTGAGGGCTCCTGTCGCAGCCCCTCCTCTGCTGCGGAGCTGACAGACTGCATTTCTTGCTCTTCCTGGGATCCCAGACACCCCTCTTCCCTTCTCCGAGGGACTTGCTACTACCCACGGCTCAGCCTGTGACTCATCTCTCCAGAGTAGGCTGCACCACTGGCTGCCTGGTGGCTATTCAAGAGTCATTATTTATACCTGTTTAAATCCCCACTGGTTTCAAAGCCTCAGAGGAGGTGAGTCCCATCCAGCAGATGTCTTTCTTTTAGATAGAATTAACTTAGGCTTGTAAATGCCCTAGAAGCTAAATACCTTCTTTGCTGCCTCACTAGCTGACAGATGGATGGATTGTATTTTTTAATTCAATTTTGGCACTGTACTAGGTCGCCATGGGCTGGGCAGATCCTGAAGAGAACCAACTTGAGTCTGACAGTCCTTCCAGAACATGGCACCCACCTCCACCATATAACACAGCCAAGTACGGCCTTAAAATGAAGATATAAGATGGGAATATTATATATAAATGTACATATTGGGCAATTAAATAAAATAAACCACTTCTCTGACAACAGAAATTTACTGAGAGTGAGCTTAGAGAGAGAGTCATCTTTAATCCTCACTATCATCAATATCATAATGGCTAATATTTATTCATCAATCATTTACAATCTGCCAAACTTTTGCTAAGCATTTTTCTGAATTACCTTATTTAATCCTAGCTAAGTTGCTATTTTATTTTAAGGGCAGTCTCCTTTATTTTACAAACAACTTTCCAATAATTAATTAGTAAAAATGTTTAAATGACTCCGTATGTGGTGTTAAATATGGGATTGATGAATATGTATTTACATGGAAAGATGCCCATGAGACATTTTAAGTTGGGAAATGAACAAAACAAAAAAGCTGTTGCAAAAGATTTTCTTTTCAACAACTTTGAACTTTATGCAAAAAAAGGATTTTTTTTTTCATTTGGAAATAGAAAATGTATATTATACATGTGTATATCCCATTATATAAAAACGATATTTACATACAAGGAATAATTGGTTACATTGTAATATGGTTAATTCCAAAGAATGGGATGGAAGTGAAGGAAGGGGGTGAACTCTCTTCTTTCACTTTACTCACGTCCTTATAATTTATTTTAACTACAAAAACTATATTGATTTTTGTAATAGAGAACTTTTTAAGGTAAAAGTAAATGAATAAAAGATGTCATAGACTCATCAAGTTCTAAGCATTTTCTTTATACCACCCAAATGAGTGTTTCATCTAAGTTCTGAAGCATCAATGTAATGGCAAGCCTATAAACATTCACAATTGACTAAAGTTAAGTAAACCTAACAAAAACAAAGAAGTGTGTATCTATTTTTAAATTGACCTAAATATAGATTGTTCATAGTAGAGCATGCTGGCAGTTAGCCAGTTCCTTGTAATAATTTAATGGCGGTGATGATAATTATAACCAACATTTATACAGTGATTCTCAGATTTACAGATTAAAAAAGCAAGCTCACTTATAGGTTTCATCTGACCCTTATAGTGACGCTTTTAAGGAGATATTTTATGCTAGCAATAAAAGCAGTGCTATATTAAGCACCTGCATTCCCAGGTGCCAAGCACTGTACAAAGTGGACTACATATGCCATCCCATTTAATCCTCAAAAAGATCCTATGGATTAAGCATGTGTTGGGTTCAGCAGCAAGTTAGAGAAAATAAGTAACAACAATGGTTAAAAAAAAATAGAAATGCATTTCTTTCTTTTCTAAAACCCTGGGCTTTGGTGGTGATTCCATGGTCAGGAGGGATCCAGGGCTCTGCTCTTGTTCTACTGTTCTCAACACAGTTTACATTTCATGGTTCAAGATGACTTCTCTAGCTCCACCCATCATGTCTGAATTCTAGCCATAAGGAAGAAAATGGCATTCTCCCTCCTTTTTAAAACTTTTAAAACTTCTTGGAAGTTACAGCCACCACTTTTATTTAGACCTCCGTGTCCAGAATTTAACCACATAAACACATCTAGCTGCAAGAACGGGCTGACAACATGGACTTTTTTCTGGCATCTGTGTCTAGCTAACTTTTGGGGGTATTTACTGATGAAGAAGGGGAGAATGGATATTGAGGTAAAACTAGCAGTCTCAGACATAATATATTATTATTCTCATTCTACAAGTGAGAAGCTAATGAATATATCCAGTGTTACAAAGCCAGTAAGTGATAGGGTTAAGTTTGTTTGACTCTGAAGTTTATGCTCTTTCCACCACAGTAGACTGTCTCTTATACTCTTAATCTATTTCCTAAGATAGATAAGTTAGAATTCAGCTAATCAGATATAAACAAAAGGCCAGCTATCAAAGTTTTGCTTTTGGCCTGGATACCTATTTGCTACATCAGCTAGTGGGCTTACCAGAAATAAGCAGGTACCCCATACATGTGTACTTTTGGTTAATACATAGTGTAAAAATAGAAGTTTCTAGAATAAATTATAATATTCCCATCTAATAGCTATAAAAGTGACATTCAGTAAAGAATAATAAGGAAATCTTTGGATAAAGAGAAATGGCATCTCTATAGCCATCAAGACTGGCTTATATCTCAATATAAGAAACTGTTTCATGTAAGATTGCATTAAATCAGACACGGGGTTGGAATGACACTTGTTTAATGATGATTGCAATAACAATGTAATACAGTTACGTAATTAATTAGATGCTAAACGCTATGTGTCTAAGAGTTTTATGCTGTAACAGAAGTAAAGGAGATTCATGTGTGGCTACAACCGTGCTGTCTATTGAGCACTTGAAATGTGGCTGGTCCAAATTGCGATGTGCTCTAAGTGCAAAATACACACAGGATTTTGAAGACATAGTATAAAAATAAGAATGTAGGCCGGGTGCAGTGGCTCATGCCTGTAATCCCAGCACTTTGGGAGGTCAAGGTGGGTGGATCATGAGGTCAGGAGATCGAGACCATCCTGGCTAACACAGTGAAACCCTGTCTCTACTAAAAATACAAAAAATTAGCCGGGTGCGGTGGCAGGCACCTGTAGTCCCAGCTACTCCAGAGGCTGAGGCAGGAGAATGATGTGAACCTGAGAGATGCAGCTTGCAGTGAGCTGAGATGGTGCCACTGCACTCCAGCCTGGGCAACAGAGCGAGACTCCATCTCCAAAAAAAAAAAAAAAAAAAAGAAGAGAGAGAATGTAAAATAACTCTATAGTTTTTATGTTAATTACATGTTGAAGTGATATTTTAGATATATTGGGTTAAATAAAACATAATATTAACTTTATTTTAACCTATTTCTTTTTACTTTTTAAATGTAACTGCTAGAAAAATGTAAACTACATATATGTAGCTTGCATGAGAAGCTCATGTGAGATATACTTTTTGAACAATGATGGTCTACACAAAGAGAAGCAAAGGAGAAAACAAGGACAGAGGGTTTTCACCATTGTTTACGAAGAAAAAAAAAGTTCTCACTGTGAAGTGTCTTGAATCTCCCAGTCACTAGAGAGGGGATCTTGTTTCTGGGTTGCAGTACTTCAACAGGATTTCTAAAGATTTATTTCAAGCTCTCTGAAAATTCATCCCATTCCCTTTTAAAGAACTCACCTTCAGGAGGGAAGGGAGGAGTTGAGGCAGAGAAATTTCCAATAACTAATTTGGTTTCCCAGATCTTCCAATAGAGGAAGGAGTGTCTAGGGGAAGCAACTAATGCCTTGTGGTTATTGGAAAGAATATGCCCCACTGGAAGTAAATGCACTGATCTTGAATCAATTATAGCACTTTTCACTGCAAATAATAGAAAAACTGGCTTAAGCAATGAGGAAACATATTGTCTCAACACCAAGTCCAGAGATAAAGCAGGCTTCTGCTCCATTTTTCTGCAGTTTCTCAGGCTCTGCTTTTCTGGGTATGTTGGTTTTCTTTTCAAATTATTTTTAATAACATAATGAATTCGTGGCTTCATTTCTTCTTATTATTCTATTTATTTTTTACCACACTATCATTAAAACTTTCCAAAAATTTTGCAGGCTTTTTTTGGCCTTTATTTATTTATTTATTTATGTAGTGAATATATTTATTGAGCACCTACAATGTGCCAGACATAACACAATTCTTGTTCTTATGGAGTTCGCCATCTCTCTCTTATTAGATAAAACAGACAAGCACACACAAATCATCTCTCAAGTTTGTCAAAACAATAAGGTTCTTCAATAGACTTAAAGTTACCTAAATTCAAGTCCAAAACTTTGTCTTTGAAATCCAGTGGCCAAATTTGGTGGAAGAACCAGCCTGGTCAGTCCAAGCCATTCCTGAGAAGGGACTTGTATCAGCAGGTTTTTCTGTTCTTCAGTCCGTGCTTTGGATCCATCAATGACTAATGCTTGTGGAACTGTGTGATGAATCTTGCCAAATATCTTTGTCAAAGAAAGAGAGTGAAGCTTTAATTTTCTGTGAAATTCTGTTTTTCTTTTTGCCCAGGTGAAACACTAGGGAGGCTCCGTAAGGCATGACTCTTTGAAGAAGGCCACTATCTTTTACTGCCATGACACCATTTCTCAGAACACATCACATGGCCCCTGAGTGGTCAGAAGTCCAGAGAAAAACAAATCAAGCCCTCGTTTAATAGTAAAATTGTTGTCTGACCCTCTCAAATGGCTTTTTAGATCTCTTGCAAACTGAACCAGAAGATCTTTGGTTCAAGTTCCTGACTTAGCAATTTTGGATGTGTTATCTCACATGCAATGATCAGGTTCTTTGTGGAAGTTCTCTTTAATTCTTTGTGAAATAGGTTGCGCTTTGTTTTATTTTTCAATGCCTATTTGAAATCTGAGGAAACAAAAGCTCGGAAAGTGACTGGGTCCTTGACTTCCCAGCTCTTTACTACAGTTATTGGGGAACACAGTGACCCCATCCCTAATTGCTTCTTCAAGAGGTGCAAGTGACCCAGGAATTCCCCGGCCATTGCACAATGAACTTTCCATACCTTTATTGGGAATTCAATTGTGGGGAGGAAATCAAAACTTTCAAAAACATTATCAGGACACAAAAATGAAACCCCATCTGCATTTCAATTTTCCAGTTTCTCAGTGTCAGTCACTTTGTCATGGTTTGGCTCCCACTCGTTTTCTGCTTCAATGCTCAACAAGAAGACACAGAAGTGCAGCACCACCTAGAAGTCACTTGGTAAATCCTGTTGAAAGAAAGAAAGAATGAACGAATGAGCCCAGGTTTTCTCATCCTAGAGATTGCTATGAACTTCTGTCTTTAAAGATTGGTTTAATTTCAGGCCCATCTCAGAAAGAATAACCAGTTGGTGTGATGAAAAGTTTTTACATATGGGGTTTCCTTCTAGAGCTTTTATTACATTTCATTACCATTCTCCAGAGCAGACATTTTTTTTGTTTTTGTTTTTGTTTGTTTGCTTGTTTTGTTTTGTTGTTTGAGACGGAGTCTCGCTTTGTCGCCCAGGAGTGGAGCGATCTCGGCTCACTGCAAGCTTTGCCTCCCAGGTTCACGCCATTCTCCTGCCTCAGCAGAGCAGCAGAGCAGACAATTTTAACCAAGGATTAGGAGAGCTCAAAATATCTTTAGCACGCCTCGGTTTTCCCACATTTTTGACCAAGATACAGGAAAGAGAACAAAAAGTAGGGAGAGTGACTAGCCAACTCTTAATTCTTCAGGTTGGAAAGAAATGCATTTCCTGTGAGTTGGAAAAGTCCTTCTGTTCTTTACAGGTGAGTGGACAGCAGAAGTATTTTTCTTGGTATTCTAAGTAGAAGTGGCCCTGGAAGCTGCTGAATCTTGGTTTTAACCAGTCAACTGAATTTGGTTGTGTTATGGGAAGTGGACTGCTAATCATGAGTGCCTCTTCCGGTATTCCATAAAATCCTCCCACTCCATTTCTTGGTACTATAGGCCCCTTGTTTTGACAGATAGCTCTTACCTAATGATACAGATAGTTGTTCCAATTTATGCATAATGTTTTTAGTGCTAAATTCATAACACACCATGTACTGTTTACAGCAGTGTATTGATAACACACACATACATATGTGTAGCTAAAGACTAATAACTTTCTATTTTGTCACTTACAACAATTTGCACTTGTTAATGATTTTTTCCCAATACTTACAATCCAGAGGTAGAGTCATTACAAATAAAGTGAGGGACCTATGGCAAGAGAGGGTTTGCTTTTCCCCAAACTACTCTCTACCATACCCCCTGACATCCTATCTCTATCTCCCTTCCCTCATCTAAAAAAAAGAAAACCACAAAATCTCTCCTAAGGATGTTTGTCAATGATTAAAATTCTACCTTCAATGGCATATATTCCTCTGATAGACTGCATCTCTTAATGGTATATAAATTACTCTGGAGAAAGGTTAACGTTGTGATTTTGCTATTTAGCCTTTGATGTTGATGGCGAAGAATGCATAGATCATGAAGCTGCTAAATAAATCCTCACAGTGGTATTGGTGGTAGGTGAGATTGCACCAGGCAATTTTGAGTATCAAGGGAAATTTTTGTCTACTGAACACTGTGGGCAGGGTTGGCATTCAGATTGTGCTTCTTTCTTCTTGCTTGTGGCTATAGAAGGCTAGAAAAGTATTATATAATCATGAAAAGCACTTGGAACGACTCCTGGTACTATCAGCTTTGTTGAAATTTGTACTGACTTGAGTTATGTTAACTAAAGTCTAATTGTTAAAACATTTATTATCAGAATGTATTTCTGATAATGTTTATACAATTAAGAAGTGGCAAAGTTGGCCTAAGAAGCCGAATGTATTTGATTCTGGATACAAACCTTATTGTTTTGGAATCATATACATTAGGCTTCTTAGGCCAACTTTGCCACTTCTTGATCATATAAACTTCAACTCTCAGAGCCTCATTTTCAGTTAGAGTTTATTTAAGTCAAGAGTAGTCTCCCTTTATCCATGGTTTCAATTTTTGCAGTTTCAGTTAGCCCTGGTCAACCTGAAAATATTAAATGGAAAATTCCAGAATTAAACAATTCTTAAGTTTTAAATTTTGTGCCCTTCTGAGTAGCGTGATGAAATCTCATGCTGTCCCGCTCTGTCCTCCTCGAGACATGAATCCTCACCTGCACGCTGTACACACTACTTGCCTATTAGTCACTTAGTATCTGTCTTGGTTATCAGATTGACTGTCCTGGCAGCCCAGTGCTTGGACTCAAATAACCTTTATTTTACTTACTAATGGCTCCAAAGTGCAAGAGGAGGGATACTAGCAATTTGAATATGCCAAAAAGAAGGCGTCAGTTGCTTCCTTTAAGTGAAAAGATAAAAGTCGTCAATTTTAGGGAGGAAAAAAATCATATGCTGAGATTGCTAAGATGTTCTGTCTGTGAAATTGTGAAGAAGGAAAAGAAATTTCTGCCAGTTTGGTTGTCACATCACAAGTTGCAGAAATTACAGCCACAGTGCATGCTAAGTGCTTGGTTAGATGGAAAAGGCATTAAACTTGTGAGTGGAAGACATGAACAGATACGTATTCCAACTGATGGCCATCAGGTGTGGTACTCTTCTAGGTTTCAGCTATCCACTGGGGTCTTGGAACTTATCCCCCATGGATTAGTGGGGGACTGTTGTACTTATTTTATAGTATTAGTATAGTATATTGTATAGTACTTTATAGTATTACATATTAAGTAAGATAATGTGTGGTGGTTATTTAACACAGTGTAGATTTACTTAAATAATAAAGGTAACGATGATAATGATGATGATAGATGAGACTTTAACAGATGCATGTCAAGGTTTTACTCTTTTCAGTTGCTATATTAGTATTAAAATAAAACCTCTTAGGTTCCTAAGTAAAGACGTTTTTGACGACATGGTAATAGAATTTTTGAACATTAATGTCTTTTGACATGATAAGTCCAAATCTATACCTATTCCCAAGGCCCAACCTAGATCTATTATTACTAAAGATATTAATACATGCTTTGAGTTCTTTGCAATATAAGTAAGTCAAACGCTACATATCATCTTACCTCTTTCCTTGACAGTCTGTGAGCTCCTTGAGTTCCATCCTGCATACTTTTTAGACCGTGCTTCCGTTTTGACCTCAATCATTTTCATAGAATCAACCTACAGTGATTCCTTACCCTGTATGCATCCATATACCCAACCACCTATGGTTGTCTCCATCTGAATGCCCCTCCCCAGCCCACCCTTACCTTCTTGGAGCCTTTAGAATTTGGTTTAGGTATCACCTCTTCTAGAAACCTTCCCTTTCATATATAGTTCAAGAGTTCCTCTTCTGAATACTTACAAGTTACATTATATACTTTGTGTAACGTGACTAGTTGGCAACACACATGCTTGATATATAATTAGTATATCATGAATAAAGTCACTTGGTCCTTTCAACCACTTCTATTTTCACACACATATGCTTCACTCATTTATATTGCACGTCTTATAGATTACTAAATTATTTATCTATGCTTAATGCATCTTCTGAGCTTCACGCATCCTGTTTATTTTCTTGCCTTCTACAGCCGAATTGATTACTTGCAAATACGCATTACAGATTATGTATTTTTATCATTCAGTACCACCAATTTGAAATACTATCTCTTCTTGAAATTTACCCTTGACAGTTTACCCTTTGAACCTAATCCAGGTATTAAAGATTTCTAATTTAAAGGAAAAACAATTTGTTCCTTTAAGTCTCAAAGTGATTTACAGAAGTCAAGTTAAATGGCACCTTGGTTAACTACTTTAACCTCTCTAAGCTTTAGCTTCCTCTATCATAAAAGTAAGACTTTATATCAGATACATGTGAATGCTGCCATTTCAGCTTCATAGGGGCATGGGGGCATGTTCACTTTTGAATGGTTTAGCAGATCATATAGAGTGAGTATCTCTCAGGTCTAAGGATAGGTGGAGAGGGTTGAATATCTAAATCAGTACAAGGAAAAATACCCTATAAGGCTGGGCATGGCAACTCAGACCTGTAATCCCAGCACTTTGGGAAGGTGAGGAAGCAGGATCACCTGAGTCCAGGAGTTTGAGATCACCCTGGAAATACAGTGAGACCCCAAATTTTAAAATTTTTTAAATTAAAAATTAAACTAGCCAAGCAAGGTGGCGGGTGCCTGTAGTCCCAGCTACTCGGGAGGCTGAGGCAGGAGAATGGCATAAACCCAGGAGGTGGAGCTTGCAGTGAGCTGAGATCGTGCCACTGCACTGCAGCCTGGGTGACAGAGCGAGACTCTGTCTCAAAAAAAAAATAAAATAAAAATAAAATAAAATTTTAAAAAAATTAGCCAGACATGGTGGCAGGCACCTGTCATCCTAGCTACTTGGGAGGCTAAGGTGGGAGGATCCTTTGAGCCCAGGAGTTCGAGGCTGCAGTGAGCTATGGTTGTATCACTGCACTCCAGCCTGGGTGACACAGCAAGGCTCTGTCTCCAAAAAAGGAAGATACCCTATAACACAGAAAGAAATGCTTGCTGCCATGTGGAGTTGCTTTCAAACCTTTAGTGCAGTAGGCCTACCCATGCCTTTTCCATGACCAGTTAGTAAGTAAGTGGCCTGCTGCTGAATAAGGTGACCAACCGTTCTGGTTTGCCTAGGAGTCTCCTGGTGTTAAGAGTGAAAATTCTGCAACCTGGGAAACCTCTCAGTCTCGGGCAAATCAGGATGGTTGTTGAACCTATTGCTTAGTCTCTGTTTCCTCAAATATAGAGGGGGAGATATAGACATATCCATCACAGCAGTTACAAGGGCTAAAAGAGGTAATGAGAGTAGAGTGCTTAACAACAATGCCTTCACTATGAAGGCCATGAACATCATGTTTCTCAACCACCAATCTAGTTTGGGGTTTCATCATCTCTGAGTAAACTTGTGCTTATTTTTATTTTATTTTACTTTATCTCATTTTTCATGGAAACACATGTAAACTGTCAGAGAATGGCAGATGGTTCCTCCTAAAAGTGCTGGTTTGTAACAAACTTAAAGGATAGAGTTTCCTCCTCTGCATATTATTATATGCAGCATTTGACTGCTAAGGGTTAAGGTTCCTCCTGTGTGTGGTGTTCATAGTTCAAATCTTTGGTGCAGCAGGCTTAGCCATGCCTTTCCCACAACCAGTTAGTAACTAAGTGACCTATGCAGATCATAGTTTCAGTCAATATCTTCCAGGCAACTGATTAAC